TGCACGCACCACCATGCCCAGCTAATTTTTTGTATTTTTAGTAGAGACGGGGTTTCACCATGTTGACCAGGATGGTCTCGATCTCTTGACCTCGTGATCCACCCGCTTCGGCCTCCCAAAGTGCTGGGATTACAGGCTTGAGCCACCGCGCCCGGCCTAACAACTGCAGTTTTTTAGAGGGTATAGAAAAAATACTTGCTGAGTCTTGCTTAACTGCAGAACCGGGGTAAGGAAAAAACCCCAGCAATCCTTAGAAAAGGAAACTGCATCACTATGGTGTGACCAAAGTATATTCACTGTTAACTTTATATATATATTTTTGAGGCCAAGTCTTGCTCTGTTGCCCAGGCTGGAGTGCAGTGGTGCAATCTCGGCTCACTGCAACCTCCACCTCCGGAGTTTAAGCGATTCTCCTGCCCCAGCCTCCCTAGTAGCTGGAATTACAGGCAACTGTCACCACACTCAGCTAAAATTTTTGTATTTTTAATAGAGATGGGGTTTGACCATGTTGGCCAGGCTGGTCTCGAACTCCTGGCCTCAGGTGATCCACCCGCCTCAGCCTTCTAACGTGCTGGGATTACGGTATAGGCATGAGCCACGACACCCAGCCAACTTTTTTTTCTACCAAAGGAGATTCTAATTTCTTTATTCATAACTACTGAGAATAGATGTAAATCCTTCTAGATTTTTTCCTACACATATAAATCTATTGTTGCAAAATATACATATTATGTATCCTTTTAACCATTTGTAAGTGTACAGTTCCATGGCATTAAGCATAGTCACACCGTTGTACAATGACCACTTCTTTCTACAGGCCTGACTTTCTCAATATACTGGAAGCTCCCTGCAGTCCAGTAGCCCATGCTGGCCCTTTGTGTACAGCAGGTGGTAAGTGTGGTGGCAGAGGGAAGAGTGACTGGTGGGTGGCATGGGCTGAGAAACATACACCACTCAGTGGGCAGCAGTGCCAGGTCTTAAAAGACTTGGTTAGCTTCCGATGGTTTTTGAGACAGATTTTTGCTCTTGTTGCCCGGGCTGGAGTGCAATGGTGCAATCTCAGCTCATTGCAACCTCTGCCTCCCGGGTTCAAAAGATTCTCCTGCCTCCATCTCCTGAGTAACTGGGATTACGGGCATGGGCCAATCATGCCCAGCTAATTTTTGTATTTTTAGTAGAGATGGGGTTTTGAAAAGTTGGTCAGGATGGTCTTGACCTCCTGACCTACGGTGATCCACCCACCTCAGTCTCCCAAAGTGCTGGGATTACAGAGGTGAGCCACCGTGACTGGCCTTCAGGCCATATCTCAAAGGAATTCTACAAATGAACTTGTGTGGAGGTTCATGGTTTTCAAAAAGGCATTCATTTTGTTTACCTCTCGAACTATGCTGAGAAGTACATACTGTCTGGCTACGGTACAGCTGAAAAAATAGATTTTAGGACGGCAAGCACCCGTTTAAGGTCTCACACGTTTAAGGTCTCACACAGGTGGGAAACGGCAGAGCGAACTCAATCAAGGTCTCTGGATGTCTGGTGCCTCTGGCACTTCCACCTCACCCCGCAGGAGGAAAAGAGCGAAATGTGACAACAGAAGTGACTGGAGATGACCTTCGAGTGCTGGCCGACCCCTCTCTCTATATCCCATGGTGAGAGCACAGCTAGGCCCAAGAAACTTGTCCCGGAGAATGCCACCACGACGTGTGTGACTCAGTCTCTCAGGGAGGAAGGCTTCGAAGAAGCCCCCACCACGCAGTGGGCCTCACTGTGCGTCAAGCCCCGTGCTGAAATCCCTGCGGTCGGAGCCAGTTCTTCCTGTTGCACAGACAGGTTCAGGGGCTTGCCTGACCAAACCCAGAGGCAATGTGCCTGGCCTCCGTGCCTGAGGCTCGGGTTCACAGATGCCTGGGAGGCCGCGGAGCCAGGGCCCCTCGGGCAGAGACTGGGTCCCTAGAAGGTACGGGGACTGGGGGGGGATATGGGCAACGCGCCAGTCCAGGGGCTCCTGGGCGGTGGGGAGAGGCCAAATCTTGGAATATGGGGCGCGTCCCCCCTCAGCACCCCATTCTGCCTCATAGCCCTTGGTCCCAACCAGGCCCTCGGCTCGGCCACACCCCCTCCGACCCCCTAGTTGTGCCCCCTCGGTTCTCCAGCTCCCTAACTCCCAGCCTCGGGTTCCTCAGGTCCGCAACGGCCCCTCTCGCTCCTCAGCCGCCCGCATTGCAACCCCGCACCCTTTGGGTGCCCCCATGTGAGCCTCGTCTCGGCCTCCTTAGCCTTCTGATTCCGCCCCTCCGGTTGCTCGGCCCCATTTCACCCCTGTGCGCCTCGGGAGCTCGTCTGACCCTCGCCCCAGCCCCGTCAGCCCTCCAATCCCATCCCCCTGGCCTCCTCACCCTAGGTCTCCGGGGCCCTCGGCAGTCTGCTCACCGCTCGGCGTCCCACAAGCTGCTCCCGGTCGGCCCCGCCCACTTCCCGTCCCCGGCACCGCGCAAGCGCAGTCGGGCCTTCAAGCCAACCGGGGACCGGGCCTCTGCTGCCCCCTGGCGGCCGCGCGGACCGTGACTGCAGCCCCTTCGTGGTAGGCGAACAGCGGCTCCATCTCGGCTCCGGACCCGCCCCACTCCCCGGCCTCTTGCTTCTGTTTTGTAGCTTTGGGTGGGCGGCTGGATGGGGAAAGCAATCTCTATCTCACAGCACCCAGAAATTAAGAAACTTGTGCCACCAACATCTGGTACGTGCGAGAGCAGGGATGCAAATGCAGACTGCTTAGGCAGGCTCATCCATTAGGGAAGGAGGCACAGTCCCGGGCCCATTAGGGGTTGTTTCCACAAACGTTGAGGCTTAAAGCTACACAGGTTTGTTCTTTCCATTCTGGAGGTCAGAAAGCCACTTGGTCTCAGTGGGCGAAGATCCAGGAGTCGGCAGAATACGTTCCTTTCTAAGGACCCTAGAAGACAAACTTCCCCTGCCTCTTCCAGCGCCTAAGGGCTGCCGACATACCTTTTGACCCCTTCCTCCAGCCTCAAAACCAGCAATGACCAGTTGAGCCCTTCTCACACTGCCACCTCTGGTTCCCTCCTCTGCTTCCCTCTGATACTTACTAAAGACCCTCCTGATGCCATTGGGCCCGCCCAGACAATCCAGGATCATCTCTCTACTTTAAAATCAGTTGATCTGAAACCTCAATTCCCCTTCCCAATTTTTTTTTTTTTTTTTTTTTTTTTTGAGACCAGGCTGCAGTGCAGTGGCATAACCTGGGCTCACTGCAACCTCCACCTTCTGTGTCAAGTGATTCTCCTGCCTCAGCCTCCCAAGTAGCTGGGACTACAGGAAGGAATTCCCCTTTCCCAGGTAATTGTTTTTTTTGAGACCAGGCTGCAGTGCAGTGGCATAACCTGGGCTCACTGCAACCTCCACCTTCTGTGTTCAAGTGATTCTCCTGCCTCAGCCTCCCAAGTAGCTGGGACTACAGGCACAAGCCAGGACACCTGGCTAATTTTTTTTTGTATTTTTTAGTAGAGAAGGCATTTCACCATGATGGTCAGGCTGGTCTCAAACTCCTGACCTCAAATGATCCACCTGCCTCGGCCTCCCAAAGTGTTGGGATGACAGGAGTGAGCCACTGCATCCGGTCTGCCATGTAATCTAACAGCAAGCACTGGTATAGGACATGAACATCTCTGAAGGGCCATTTTTCTGCCACCACAGAGGCTCATGAAAATATTCTTTTACTCGCTTTTTAGAGACAAGGTCCTTCTCTGGTGCCCACACTGGAGTGCAGTGGCATGATCATAGCTCACTAAAGCCTCAAACTCCCGGGTTGAAGTGACCCTCCTCTCCTGCCTCAGCCTCCCCAGTGTCTGGGACCACAGGCAAGCACCAGCACGCCCAGCTGATTAGAAAAATTTTGTAGAGACAGAGTCTGACTATATTGCCAGGCTGGTCTTAAACTCTTGGGCTCAAGTGATCCTCCTGCCTCAGCCTGCCAAAGTGCTGGGGTTACAGGTATGAATCGTCACATCTGGCCAAAGCATTTTATTTTAAAGACAGAAGAAAGAAACCTTTAAGTCAAAGAAAATGGCTTAATATTACATAATATTATATTCATCTTTATACCAATGCAGTCATTTTTTTTTTTTTTTTTAAGAGTCTGTGTCCAGGCTAGAGTGCAGTGGTGTGGTCTCGGCTCACTGCAACCTCTGCCTACCGGGTTCAAGTGATTCTTCTGCCTAAGCCCCTGGAGTAGCAGGGACTACAGGTGCATGCCAACATGCCTAGCTACCTTCTTTGTATTTTTTTTTTTTTATATCTGAAAGCAAGTTTTTAAGGATATTAAACTTCTTTGTGTTTTTAATAGAGACAGGGCTTCACCATATTTACCAGGCTGGTCTCTAACTCCTGACCTCGTGATCCACCTGACTTGGCCTCCCAAAGTGCTGAGATTATAGGCATGAACCACTGCACCCAATTTTTTAAAATGGAGAACGGGGCACCCAGATCTTACTGTGGCTCTGTCCACCTGACCTTTAGGCCCATAGGCCTGTGTCCTTGCCAGGAATCAATGTCTCTGGGACGCTTCTCTAACAGGAGGGTTTCAGTGGCTGAGACCAGGAACCTGGAGAACTAGCAGCTGGGTGACTGGAAAGGAAACCATTTGGGGTGGGGTTGGGTCTGCAAGGTAAGAGGTGTCTGGGCAAGGAAAGCAGGGCTGGGGCGGAGGGTCCTGCCTCATCCCACTCTCCTGCTCACTCCTTCCTCGATCCCTGTCAGGGCAGTCACCATGAGCAAGGCTTGAGACTACTTATAATCAGTGGCCTTGGGCACATTCCTTAGCTCACCTGAGTCTCAGTTTCTTGATCAGTAAAAAATGGGGACAATAGCAACCATCCTATTTCAGAGAGCTGTTGTGAGACCCTGAGCCACCGTTTCTCAAACTGCCCGATTTCACCTACAACAGAATGGCTGTGGGGTGAAGTTTGAGAACGACAGAACAGGTGAGGTGGTGCAGGGGCAGGCCCTCCCACACTGTAAGGTGCAGTGTGGTGCAGCAGAAGCTGATATTCCCGCAGCTCTCTTTGGAGGGAGCCGTATTAGACTCTCGAGCACCGACTGTATTCGAGGTCTGTGGCTTAGAGATCATGGCAAAGTGAGGCACCAAGAGTTTGTCCCTATGGGCTCCAGGTCAAGGACATGCCTGTGAGATAACTCCTGCCACGTGGCTCTGTCAGTGCCTCACTGTCCACATTCCATCATGCCTGAACTCCTGGCTGTTGGCTTACCCAGGTGAAAAGAATCTTTCACTATCACCCACCCAGCCACAGATACTTTTCTGCGTCTCTGGCAAGGCTGTGCCTCTGGCTAGGTGGGCAGGGCTGGGGGCTCTCTGGGCCAGCCTGCAGCCACTGACCTCTCCAGTCTGCAGGGCAGAGGTACAGCCCCATGGGGTGTGGCTGATCTGAAGGCAGTTCTGGCCTGAAATGGGCCTTGTCCCTTCCTTGTCCTCATTGCTCCCAAGGCCAGGCTGGCAGCAGTAGCAGCGGGGTTGGATGCTACTGGATGGGAGAAGGTGAATGGACTTGGGAGTGCAGAATCAGGCTGTGGAAGCCAAGGGCCCTGAAGGAGGGTCATGCCCAAGAGGAAAATAAACACTTTGTGATCAGCCCTGGAGCAGCTGAAGCTGCAGTGCAGAAGCATGGTAAGGAAGGAGTGGCCTGGGTTTAAGGCCCAAGACACTGTCTCCGCTCCTCTAAGCCTGAATTAGCCCTATAACCTAAGGGTCCTGGAGGTCCTAAAACCTTCTACAGAGAAGGCTCTGGGTCCACTGGGCCTTGTGGGTGGAAGAGCAGAGTCACAGCCCTGCACTGGCGACCCAACAGATGTGGCCTTGCTAGGGCCTCAGAATTGGACCACAGTGGGTGGGAGGGGGCAGCAGCTTTGAGACACCCCCTCCTTCATGAACCCTGTACCTCTGAGACACATCCCAGAACCCACTGTGTGGCTCCCCACGTCACTTTGTATTTTCTTTCAGCTTCGAGTAGCTCTCCAAACTGTGTTCCAGGGAACGCCCCCCCTTAACCTGTGAGGGCCTCCAGGAGGGGAATCCAGGTGGGGCATGCTGTGCGGGCTCTGGGTTTCCTTACGGGAGGTCTCATATACGTCCTGGTGCGGACTGGGAATCTACTACTTAGTGGTGGGACTGCGTCTGAAACATTTCTGATCCACCCCTTAAAGAAAGGTACCACTGAACAGCCTGGAAAGCTGTTTTGCTGAGCTCCTGCCACCACTCAATGAAGTGTGGGCAAAGTGTGGAGGGAGTTTCCAACAGTGTACCCTGCACAGAGGTCCCTCCTTTGAGAGGTGTCCCTCTTCACCGGAAGGCACTGCGGTCAGAGGGCTGCCTCACGGTCCGCATTCCATCACGCCTGAGCTCCTGGCTCTTGGCTTCCACCCTGGTGAGAAGAATCTTTCAACATCACCCACCCAGCCACAGATGCTTCTCTGCTTCTCTGGCAAGGCTGTGCCCCTCGCTAGGTGGGCAGGGCTGGGGGATCTCTGGGCCAGTATAAGTGGTCTGGGTTTTAGGCCTGAAGTGCAGTGTGCTGCAAAAGGTGATATTCCTGCAGGCTTCCTCAGAGGGGGCCGTATTGGACTCCTGAGAACTGATTCCATTTGAGGTCTGTGGCTTAGAGATGACAAAGTGAGGTACCACCAGGAGCTTGTCCCTATGGGGAGAGGGATGGGGATTCCTGAGCCAGATCCAAGGAGGGTGTCTCCTAGCCCCGTCTGCTTCACTAGACTCCTCTCCTGCTGGAGCCACGGGCTGTCAACGCTGCCTTCCTTAAGGCATCAGGGCCGCTGCTTGTGCATAGAGCTACCATCAGCCG